ATAATCTCTGAAGATGGCACTTAGCCGAAACTGGTAAGACTTGTTTTTTTTTTTTTTTTTTTTTAATTACAGTTTTTATTGGATCAACATTTTATTACATGTTATGCACAATATTTGTAGTTAAGAATTAGTGTTTTATTCATTATACTGTATGAGGTTATTCACTTGTCTCCTCTTCGCTACTTCCATCGTTAGTTAATTGGTCTTGTGGCATTTTTCTTTTAAGACGTACATGGATGTTTTTCTTCCCTAACTTATAGTGTGTTGCTCCTTCGCAGTTTTTTAAGTTTTCAAAGAACTTCACGTTAAGCCGTTTGATGAAAGTTGTCACTGTAGGTATGTTTAATTCTTTATGAAGTTGGTCATTTCTAACGAACCACGGTGCATTTGTTGCAATCCTTAAAACTTTATTTTGAAAAGTCTGCAATTTCCGCAAATTGGTTTTGGAGGTATTTGACCATACACAGCTGGCGTATGTTAATAGCGATCTCAACAATGATTTATAAAGTAGGAGGGTGCATTCTATTTTTAGTTGGGATTTTCGATTTATGAGGGGATAAAGTTGGTTTAACCGTACATTTGCCTCATTGAGTTTTCGGTTGATATGAAAGCCCCAGTGAAGCCTCGTGTCGAGATATACTCCAAGATATTTAACAGCCTCGGTTGACCATTCTACACCTTCATTGTTAATTGATATTTCTGGTAGCTCTCGGAATCTTCTTAACGTGAACATCTTCAATTGTGTTTTAGCCGGATTTACCATAATTCCCCATTTATTGGCCCATCTGCATACGATATTGATATCATTTTGTAGTGCGTCAGTTGTTTCCATGATGTTATTTCTCTGGCTGATAATAGCGGTGTCGTCAGCAAACATTGATAGTATTCCTGAAACGGTTGGTATATCGTGCACATATATATTAAATAGCAAGGGGGCCAACACGCTGCCTTGAGGTACTCCGGCTTCTATAGATTTAATTGTTGATAATTCGTTATTGATTTTGATTTGGAACGTTCGTTTATCAAGAAATGAGAATAATATAGCTGTTAAATATGATGGTAGTTTTAGGTGTAGTAGTTTGTATTTAAGGCCTTCTAACCAAACTTTATCGAACGCTTGGGCGAAGTCTAGGAAAGCTACCGCTGTGTATTGCTTTGCTTCAAATCCCTTTTCAATAGCTTCACTAAGTCTTAGTAGTTGATGACACGTTGAATGGTTATTTTTGAATCCAAACTGAAATGACGGAATAGTCCTTTCTATCACTAATTCTGTTTTTAGTCGGCTTTGGATGATCTTTTCTAAAATCTTTGATAAAACTGTTAGTAAACTAATAGGACGATAACCGTCCATACAACTGTGATTTTTTCCAGGCTTCGGAAAGACTACGATTTGGGCATGTTTCCATTTATCTGGAAAATACCCAATTCTCAGACATCCATTAAATAGAGTTGTTAAAAAAACTAACATTTTATTGCTGAGTTGTTTTAAAATTTCGTTAGTGATCAAATCGTACCCTGGACTTTTTTTTTTAGGTAGTCGTTTGATTATGATTTTAATTTCATCAGGTGATGTTGGTTCAATTTCACTAGCGATTGGCATATGATTTTCAATGTAGTTTAGTATGTTTATTCTTTGCGTGTTTTTAATTATAGTAGGAGGACGAAAAATTTTTTCTAAATGTTCGCTAAATAGATTGCATTTTTCAGTATCTGAATAAAACGTATTTTGGTCATCTTTGATAGGGCTTATAGTTTGCTTTTGCTGTATTAGCTTTTTCGTTGTTCGCCACATGCCAGGATCATTGTTTCCATATGTTTTAATTTGTTGTTGATAGCGTTCAATTCGAAAAACATCAAGTTCTTTTTTAATTCGGTGTGCCAAGTTGTTCATTCTGTTTTTAATTTCACGGTTCCGCGTTCGATGCCATTCTCGTCTCAAACTGTTTTTTTGTTTTATTAGTTCTGATATAGCAGCTGGTGTAAGTGCTTGATAAGGTTTGTTATTTCGTTTTTTATGAGGAATTGTTGATAGTTTTACACTTTCGCAAATGTTGTTTGTATAATTGGAGATTGTTTGATCTATTTCTTCCTTACAATCGATGTTAATTGGAGGTAAGACTTGTAAATTTGTTAATTAAAGACCAGTTTAAAAGTACAAAAACTATATATTTTTTCGTTTTTACAAAATAAACTACTTATTTTACGAAAGCATGTAAGAAACGAAGTAAACTCCAGAATAAGAACTATAAAGAGAGAATATTGGAGTAAATTCACGGGCATATCACAAAATCAAAGGAAGCCACTCAACAGTATGTACAGAGTATGTAGGTACAGATAAATGTGGTGTTGAAAGAATTTGGAAAAGATATTTTAAACAACTGTTATTTACCGAAGACGCTACCACATGAAAAACAGGAAATCTCGCAGAACCGGAAATTACTAGAATAATTTGCTCAAATCTGGCGGAATAAAACTAACAGAAAAGCTGACCCAGCCATTTAACAATTCCATAACAATTCCAATATTCATAAAATACTAAAAAACTAGCCTGACGGCTAGACAAGATCTAGCTGTAGACATTCCCACTCCATGTGGCATCAGACAAGTTTTTGTTCACTTTAGTAATGAACAAAATAATCGAGGAAGTGATAACTTTAAACTTAGGACTTAAAATGGGTCAAAAGAAAATCTGTCTAATATGCTACACTGCGACGCTACGATAATCGCCAATTCAGAGGATAACCAGCAAAGACAATTACACAACTTATCAAGCGAACGAAGCTTTACGCATGGCTGTATCTACTAGCAGTCAACAACACCCCCAACGAAGAAGTCATGGAATTTTCCTAATTGCGTGTACGATCCCCCAAGGAACATAAGAAGTCAAATCTACGAAACGTCCGTAATTTCAGGCTGCGTATGGATAGTAAGGTGCTATCCTCCATCCACCCATTAATGACTTACGACATTCAAATACGCGAAGGCAACCTCAGGAAAAATTAGATGAGACAGAATTAAGAACTCCAATATCAAAAACTAATGCGTGGTTCAGAATAATGTGAAATAGCAGAAGAGATATTGGCATAACTAGATAACATAAGAGTAGAATACCAGACAGAAAAGTGCAAAAAATTTTGCTTAGAAATAACCCCCCCATAAAACGACCTTAAATTATCAACAGATGTCTTAGTCACTCGATTGCTCAACATATTATCAGAGAACAACGTGGTTTGTTCTATGAACGATCGGTGAGGTCAACAATCTACTCCGACTATCTTTGGGGGGTTGTGAGACAAAGGTAACTTTGGGGTATTCCTGTTCAGAAAGTTTCCTCCTTTCATATTGCAAATGATATTGTTCATTGAATCATGTCGTATCTACCAAATAGACAAATAGAAGTCAAGCATTCAAAATAGGAAGTTTTTTATCTGGTTACAAATATATGACATCCAGTACGCCTTAAGGTAGTCATCGTGGACTATTACTATTTTTAATGTATATAAACGATATCTGTTTCCTTGATTTAAGTTTCTTTTCACCACAGACTTTCATCAAGGTCAAATAACAACAAATATATTTACTTGGAAACATTGTCTTCTTAATCTTAGCATTATATTGTTTGCCAATTGCAATATCATTATCATGTTTAGAGTTCCCGAAGGAACTTGGGGTTTGTTATCAAAATTAGTTACTAAGAAATTCACAAACTTTAAAGGTATAAAATCTACATTCAAGTTTACGGATCGCTTTTGTGTAATACTAAGTTTAACAACCTCATATTATAAAACACTAAACATTGAGCAATGCTACTATATCCGACCCGATTTAAAGTGTCTACGTCTTTATCAACCTTTTCGGAGGTCATGTATTCTTCTAAGTCGCCTTTATAAGGATAAGACAACTAAAAAAGCCAAAATAATAATCAGCTTGTTTTTAAAAGACTAATAAGATGGAAATATATGATTGTTACCATTGTTGCAACTTTAACATGAATATTCCCCATATTTTTTCTTCTCCAAAACTTGTTTTGCTTTGCCTTTATAACGTAGCCTTCGTTTTTGTTATAAAATCCCACTAAATTAAATTCCAATTGACCACCATGATCTAAACCGGAATTGTATATTTCAAACAAGTCCCAAAATAGCTTATCTCTTGACACAGCCAAAGTTATATCCGAATTAGCATTCGCTGGGATATATTTGAAAACATTTGTGATTGTGGTGTCATATGAAAGGATTAGCCAGTGTTTCTTTTCATTAAAATTTTTGTATTCATGAAACTACACTTAAAAAAGGAATAAGTGCTTTTTTTGAGTTATCATTTTTTTATTACCTTGTAAAAAAAAGCTTTTGTGTTAGCACAAGATCCATTAACTACAATTCCAATATTTGTCGTTTCTATAAACTTTTCAATTTTTTTCTCTGTATTTATATTTAATAAAATGAACTGTACAGAGAGTTTAGATAAATGTACACCTAAATGTAATTTATCTGAAATTTAAGAAAAGAAATTACTTAAAACTTTTTGGTATAAATTAAAAATTATGTACCTCTTTTTTCTAAACAAGTAAAAACATAAACTTTGCTAAGTAATTTATAATTTAAATAATTTTTGACAACACCTAATTCTTTAAAATCTTCTCCTTTAACTAAAATACCCAAACTTCCCAACACAATAAGTAATGAAGTTAATTTCATTGTGATTCCATTTCAAATACATATACAAATTTTAAGTTACGCAAAGATAATCTAAAAACGTTCTAACGAAGCATTTGGTAGTTGCGAACACTTTATAACGTTTCAATCAGAATAATAAACTACTCTTTTAAATCAATATCATGAGCGGTTTTGATGGACATTGCGGTTTTAGTGCTATTCCATTTGTTAACAAAAGGAATTGTGGTTTTGCTTAAATTAATAATGAAAATCAGGAATGTCTCTACTGTTTTATTACGGTTTTTTTTAATTTCATTTCGATATTTTAATATTTGCAACTTTAATTCAATTTCTTTTATATTTATTCCAAGATATTTCCCCCAACAAAATTAAAATACTCGCCACACAACCAAATAACAAAATATAAAGCGCAGCTGAGAATTCTTCTAAACCAACACTGACCAATTCAACAAATGTATCGCTCAGACAATTCGGTTTCTTTGCGTCCCATAACGATCTCATTCGATGCATTATTCCATTTTCATACATTCTTAAAACGCTAGAATAGAAAGATAGTAGAAAAATAGTAAGACATAATTGTTCAATAATTCAAAATAAAGCGATTGTTTACCAATAGTTAATTAATTCTCTAAAATGAGATTGTTTTTGTACGCTAGAATACATGAATTGGGTGTGATACATTTGAATTTCTTGCAGTTCACAAAGAACATTTGTCGGAAACGTTTCTTTAATTAGTGGATAAGCACTACTCGTTTCAACGTGAAAAGCAAATCCACCTTGTAAAACTTTTTCCATTCCATCGGCCGGTTTATAAAATCCATCGTGATTAGGTTTTTCCACTTTTGTGTGGTATAAATCGAGAATAATTTTATCTTTAGCGTACTACAAATTAAATTAACTTAAATGTTTTGATCAAAATAACATACCTAGAACAAATTATCGGATCGATTCATGTCTTAACCTTTTTTAATTCCCAAAGAATGGCAACCAGGAGCATAAGAACCAAAACCGCAACAAGATACAATCAAGAAAGAGAAATCTCTGCCACCTATGTGATACATGGAATAAAATCATTTCAAGAATCATACGAGATACTAAAGGACAAGTTCAAAGAAGATTTTCAAATTAAGCCCACTAATACGACAGCAAAAATTAATTGTGTTAATTCTGAAGTCTACAGAGATATTGTAAGATTACTGAGTAGCAAAGGAATAACTTTCCACACACATGAAAAGAGGCAAACAAAGCCAACATAGGTTATGGTAAAAAATGTATAACTTTTACAGCTCAGAAAACATCAAGAATGTTCTGGTATACAGGAGGTTTACGGCAGATTCTATTATTAACGTTCATAATAAACTTTCATGGAAATAGCTCAAATTTTAAGTAGTAAAGTAGAAATAGTTTCAATAAAATGTTAAAATTAATTAAAATGTAAGCAATATCAGCTCTTTGGGTACACTCAGAAATTCTGTGCAAATGAATCAAGATGTGACAAATGTACTAGATATTACAGCTAACTGTCAAAAAAACTGAAAACCAAAGATTCGTGTGAAAAATGTGTGAGTTTAATTATACCTTGCTAATTATCGGGGATGTGTAGTGGCAAAAACTCAAAAATAGAACTACTTAATGATAATATCAAAACAAAAATGACAAACAGCAAAAAAATTAGATAATACACAAAATAATAAGGGGGAAGTAGATTTTCCAGAAAAGTAGATTTACTTTTGACTCTATAGTTGCGAGAAGAGCAAATAATTAAACAGATATATACACACGGTAAGAACGTCAATCAAACATTACAACGAACCCTCAATAAAATCACCCAAATGGAAAACTCCTTCCACAATAAGAAACAGAAAATTGTTAACCTTCTAGAGGCCGAGTTGTGAAAAACTTTGTTTTTCTTGTTTAACTTTTCACAAATTTTTCTATAGACCTATATGATTGATTATCCACTAAAAAAAATAAAACTTTTCTCTCAAGATTTTCAAAATAGCATGTTCCCATTATGGAAACGTTGGCTGCTTTAGTAGGTAAGTACGCTAATAAAAGGATGCTAATTGATTATTAGGAAACAATGAAACAAGTGCATGAAACTATGAAATATATGTATTGATGAAACAAAATAAAAAAAACCATGTAACTATAACAAAAAAGTTAATTATTTTTAATGAAATAGTTCAAAACAAAAAATCTTGCAATTTTTTATCACATTTTGAACACTTAAGTTTTGTATTTTTTTGACATACACTACATCTTTCTTGAGAACATGTGGTTACTATGTGGTTGATTCCGTCAAGTCTTATATCACGCACTACTGGTGCTGTAGGTCCTCGATTTCTTTTTCGTTGAGTCGCGTTTACTTTTATCAAAAACAGTGCGATTGTGCGTCTAAATTCTTAATATGTTATTTTGTCGTTGTTGTTGATATATTGGTAAAAACGAAATGCAGCTACAACCGCAAAAATTCAATGCATGTGAAAATAGGTTCCACCACCATTTCTTTAGTCGCAATTTTGATCGATAGCTGGAGTAAAGACGATCTAAGAGATCAACACCACCCATTCCTTCATTATATCTCTTTATCAGATTTGGTTGTATCACGTCTGTCTTGTTTTGTCCTTGTTTGTTCCGTCGGACTTATAATCGTATGATCCTCTTTCATGTTTTTTCAAGGCTTTAGAATGTATCAAAGGACACTTATTTGTTCTGTTTTCACGAACAGTTCCACAAGCTCGAATGATTGTCTCTGACAGATAATGAAATAGTGCATGGCTGGAGAAGAAGTTGTCAAAAAATATTACATGTTGTGAAGGTTTTTGAACAACAAATAACATATATTTTACGAGATGAGTTCCTAACGGTTCTTTGTTATGTACAAGTGATTTCCCGCAATATATTTTCATGTTATATGGATAACCGTCGGTCCCGCACAACATCCATATTTTGAAACCAAACCGAATTGGTTTGTTTTTTATGAACATCTTAGCAGAATGATGACCATGATAAGGAAGCATTGCTTCATCTATACTTAAATGTTTGTGGAAAATTCCAAACTGTAGTAAATTCGTCTTTAACATATTATATATAGATAACACTATGGCAACTTTCGAATTTTCTAAATTATTATTATTATCCGCTACGTGTATATACCGCTTTATTCGTCTGAAAGATTCTCTACTCATTGTTTTGGAAAAAATTGGAGCTTCCATATCTTCTGCTGTTCACCAGCAATCATTTTCCTTAGGAAGACTGTGGTAGCCACTGATCAACAACAATCCAAGAAACTGAGAAATGTCTTCTTCATTTACTTTGAAATTGTGTTGATTTTGATCTCTTGTTGCGTAAAGATTCGTTTGATATGTTATATAAGAAAGAATTTCTTCTGTCCAAAACAACAGAAAAATTTCATACTCTGATTTTCCAGCGTGATCAATTCCAACCTTTTCCGGTTCAACTGCGTCTGTAGGAATAGCCACATCTTCATCTTTTCTCCACTGCAATGTTTTTTTGTCATCGGTTCTGTTTCATCGGATTCTTCGTCAGTGGTACCACTTTCATGTAACTCTACTTCACCAGTTACTTCTTGTGGTAGACCCGCTATGTCGAAATTTTCATCGTCAATTTCGTCCTCATAACTTTGTATTCCTTTATTACCGGAATCTGTTATTTACATCGTTCGGCAACACGTCTAAAGTGAGAATGAGTAAACTTTGCTCTTATGAATCGAAGTAACCTTTCCTAACAATAAAATATTGAGAGTAGGTAAAAAAAGGCAATTTTATTGCTTTTTTACAACTGAGAGACCAACGTTCCCAAAATGGGACGCCTTAATGTTCTGACAAAATACTTGAAAGGGTTGTTCAGTACTGAGCAGGTAATATTCCTCAATGATTATGTACATGGTAGCATAAGTCGACAGAAACAAAGGAGGTATTAAAAAAAAAGTGCAATAAAAGGAAACAAAAATATCAAAAACGACTAAATGTACAGTGTTACAGATAGAGTATTGACTTAATAAAATTGTTGCAAAAATAAATCTCTATAAGTTAGCATCTTAGAAAAATGGTGTCCATTGAAGAAAATAGGCTAAATGTTAAATTGTAATAAAAAAAATGTTTGAAGTAATGTTCCTATTTTGGGAACGTTGGCTATTAAAAGGTTAATTTATAAAAGAATTGCTCTGATCAACGATATCCAATCAGACTTGCAAAACACCCAGCAATGAGGAGAAATCTAAAAGACAATAACTACCCTAAGGAAGTTTTACAACTAATATCAGAAAAAAGTACGAGAATGAAATGGTTATGGGCCACAAGACAAAACAAAAGAGAATAATCTTACAACTCATGTGAGAAATCAAATTAAATAGTTAAAAAATGACACCATCAGCGAAGTCCTACACAAATTTACTAATAACTCTAAATATCCTCTATGAAGATTAAGCAAAAATAAAAAAAAACGTATGATGTAAATACCTCCGACCAGAAATGAAGGCGATAGGGGACCTGAAAAGATATCTCAACTCCATCCAAGGAACAATGCTGGCAGTACGAAACAGTATACAACAACCTTATGTTTCATCAACATGTCCTGTGGATTCGAGTTCAGTGTGGACTTACGGAAGTCTGGGGTTGTATCAGTCCAAACAATCAAAATAATCTGCAAGGTTTTCAGAATAAAGTATTCAGAGGAATTGTTAACGTCCCATGGTATGTTCGAAATTACAAATGCACTAGGACCTAAAAGTGGAAACTGTCAACAACGTTATCAAAGGCATATTATCAACGTCGAGAGTCTGAAGTTGCTGGATAACGATGGCTTAGTTACTTTGAGAAAATTTGGAGGAGAAGAAAGACTAAATACACAGGAAAAAATCGTATCGTGTAAAAATTGTAGAGTAGTTGGTAAAAAGAATTAGAGTAAAAATTGTAATATCACATGGTAAAAATAACTCTAATGTACACTATATTTAATATTAATATAGAGTTCATATATTATTCACTTAATAGAGTAGTTTTTACAGTTCTCTAAAGGAGAGTTCTTTTTTACTTATGTTAGTGAAGTTATGTAATATATAAAACATTAAATTTTACACTAGACGTGTACTTTTCCTTCGGGTACTTCGTAGGCACCGCACTATTTTGCTCGGGATTACTCGTCGATACCACGTGATCAACATGTGGTGTGATACAAGCTAAAATTTAACGGTCATCTACTAAACGAGTCGGAACTCTATAGCGTCTCGAGACCTGATTTACGCGATATAGAAAGAAAGAACGATTATTTTTATTTTAATTATGTTTGCCAAAATAAAACATTCATGATGTGAAATTAGTGGAACTTCCTGAAGATTTTACATACAAGTTCCTTGTGAAGATTGGTAAGTATGTGCAACTATACATATAGGAGCAGTTTTGATGGTGACTCGGTGGAAACTTTAAAATGAGTTAAGTATTATATATGTTATATATGTATATAAACAGAATTTAATTTTTTTAAATTTAAGTTATAACAATATATTACAAGTAAAAATAAAAACAAATATTTTATAATTTTGATTTTTATTACAAACGTAAAAATACTCCACTTCCTGTTAAAAATTAACACTAATAAGTGGAAGATACACACTATTTAGTGATATTTTGTTAATTAATAGAGTAAAATTAGAGCGAATTTTTAATAATTTACACTGATTAGATTAGAAATGTATCTAATTAGAGTCACGACAACATCTAGTTAGATTACATATAATACACTATTATAGAATAACGATTTTACACTATTTAATAAACACCATCTTCTCACTATTTAGTGTAAATTTTTAATCTATTCACCTACACTATACGTATAGTGCAAAAAAATAACTCTAAATAAATTGGACCGATCTGAACCATGTTTTAGAGTTGATTTTTACTCTATATTTTTTCCTGTGTAATAATGGCCAAATTTTGTATTGTATAGCCAGCTCTTAAACAACTTCTTCCACAATCTTAAAACAATACACAAAATAATGTATGAAGCATAAGGAATTGCACAAAAATCAATAGACTACATAACATACTCCAAATCAATAAGATATGTAGTACTAGACATTACAGTCATTAGGGGAGCAGAGTTAAATACAGACCATAGATTACTAATAACTGATATAGTATACATAACACCAAAACTACAAATCTCCATAAAACGCAGACGACTTAAGATGGAAGAGTTAGATTATTAGAGAACACCAAAAACAAGAAGAGTACCAAAAGATAAAATGAAAATTAAAATTACAGGCGTTTTATATTTTATTTGTACCATGAAAGGGTACCAGGTACAAGTACAAAGCAGCGTCTCCCCCTTGACCTTTCGAGTTATTGAGCATTGGCCGTTTGGAAATAAATTTTGAATGCGTTTAGCAATATTAAGAAGTCACTCTAAACTAAGAAGAAACTAAATGACAATGGTTTCTCGTCTTCATTGAGGTGGAGATGTTTTTTCAAATCATGATAATACTGGCGGTTCATTGTAAACGTTTTCGTACCAAGTAGATTCTTGCGAGAGGAGAAATCTCTTCACTGACAAATCTAATACATTGGACATTATAGAATATATAGGTAAAAATTCTTTAACTGGTAATGAGTTTGATGGTTAATTTCAATGTCACGGTACTACTACAAGATGTCTCACAACGAACTATATTTTACAGAAGCTCTAAACTATCTGTAGTAATAACCAAGGATATCTAAACTTATTAAGGATGAACTAAGTAGTCTAGTTAGTAAGGTTTATTCTTACCGATTGAGTACTTACGTGCAAAGTCACAACACATATAAGTTTAGATGTGGACGAGGTTACGCGTTTTTGTCTGAAGAGGTTAAGACAAGAATCAGAAATAAATGTTTTTCTTACTCTAATAAAATCGCGATCAATTAATATATCTTCAATTCCAGCATCTAAAGAACTGCTAATTAAATCTAAAAGTGAATTAATAGCTTTATGAGGCATCATTAATAGTGACGAGACGATAAATCCAGAATAAAATTGATAAATCAAAACACAAAGAATCGACATTGATAAAATAGTAATTCTTCCACTGTTTAATGATGAATCCGTCATTGTTCCTAAAAAAAAGATATTAAAATTATATCTAATTAGCAATATATAAAAAAAATAAAGTAATACAACAAAATTTAACCTTGTAAACAAAGTGCACCAAAAACATTTAAAATAATGTAACTCCAAGACACATCCAAAACGTTCCGCACATTTTCAACTATGTTACGTTCGCTTGACGAGATTATTTTTAAACAAATTATGAACAAACACATTGATGCGAGAAGACTCCACCAAACTTTAACACTTAATGGTTTTGTAAAAACGGAAATTGTGTCTGGTGTAACAGAAACGGGTCGAAAAATAAATACGGATCTGCAAAATAAATATGTAAGTATTTATGTATCAAAGTGCCAAACATTACCTTGCTTTTAATATTAAGGTGTTATACTTGATTCGCAAAACGTGATTTTATTGTACTCATAGTCATAGTTAAGATATTTTAATTCATATTACTTAAAACAACTTTGTACTGATCAAATAGAATTGCGCCAACTACTTTTGTGGAGAATTTGTTACATATTGGGTTTATCAAGAATTGTCTGTTATAGAATGGAATAAATGCTATACAGTTGAGGTGTGATTCAAAATATTTGTTTTTTAATTGGATAGAAATAATATGCACTGCGTGTTATAAAATAAATAGAAAATTTAAGAAAACGCATCATGCGCAACTTTTAAAGAAAGTTCCAACTCCTACATTTTTCAAAGAATATTGTTCCGGAGCTTCTCTAACGTTGTTTACTAAATCAACGACTTTTAACGGCGTTAACTCGAATCAGCGAAGTGGTTATACAACTCTTCAATAGATCAGTTGTTTGAAGTGTGGTATTTTAGGTTGCGCATTTATCACATCTAGTGATATCAACTGAATGTTGAGCACAAACTGGCTTTTGGAATTCTTTACAAGCTTTTAGTTTACTTCTTCTAAGACATAGGAAACAATTTCCCTTTTACTTCATTATGTCAGAATTATCACGTTTTTCTTGAGGGCGTATTGAAAGATTTTCAACAATAGGTGGTACTGAGCGGCCGAATATGCTGTCAATTCAACTAGGTGACAGAAAATTCCTACATGATTTATACATATTATGAACGATTCTGGACTTCATGCATAACTTTCGCTCAACGGTTATAGGAACAATCTTCTACGGTTTATTGATGTCGTCTAGTGTAGATTATTTTCCACGTAAATCACGAATGCTGCAAATATAGCCACATCTATAATGTTATAAAAGTCCACCAGTTTATTCTTCTATTCGTTGTATATTCACCAAGGTATTTGTCCATATCCTCAACGCTTCCTTTTCTTCTGTTGTAATCGAGTATCATTCTTAGTTTTCATTTAGAACTTTCAATTCCGATGTTTTAATGGGATGTGGAAAAAATTACAACTGATTTATTCTTTTTTGAAACATAGGAATATATATTTATGTTGTTGCTAAATGTGAAAGTTAATAATTCAACTGCTCTTGGATCCGAAAATTCGACTGGTACAAATGTATGTCTTTTCTTTAAAGTGCCCTAAATAGACAAATTGTTGGCAAGCATCAAAGTAGGAACCAAATTATAACTTTGCAAACAGTTGTCTCATACGATGTTTCCACTTCCATGAAAAACTTGCAACACAAATTCTTAAGCACACATTCGCCTTGATTTCCTTCCCTTTCTCTGGAAGGTGCCACACAAGTATGGATTTCTCCTTTAATTGGATAAGATGTACCCATCAAACCTTAATTCCATACTTCACCGGTTATGAAGGTATAGGGTAGAGAAACCAGTTATGGCAACATTCAGTACTCTTCAACTTTTAAAATTTGGTATCTTAGTTCAAAACTGGAATACATGCGAGAAAAAAATCAAAATAGTATTTCTTAGCTCTTGTTGCATATAGGCACCTTCCATTTTATTTGTGTATCAAGTATTTTAAAACACAAAAAATAATTTTCAGAAGTAAATCAATTTTCCCATTTATGGCCATAAAAGCCACCAAAACCACTGTTATGGCCACCATAATTTGTTTGCGTAGAAATCAACCGCAATAAAGTCCAATTTTTAGATTTTATTAGGCACATAGATACAATAAAAGTTAAGGAGATGAATACATTTATTGTTTTTCAAATACCTCTACAGCACTGCGGAGAACAATTGTCATCTTTCGACCAACATTTTTCAGTTCGGGATCTGGAAGCGTTCCAAGGATTTCTTCAATGGCACATTTGTCATTGTCTAACACTTTGAAATGTGTCTTACGATTAGTCTGATCTAAGCTTTCAAACTCATCGTCATCCAACACGCACAAAATTATTGCAACACATTCCTGCAGGGCTGTAACTCCATCCATATCAATTGTTCTTGATTTTCTGTCTTAATATCGTCAACATCATCTAAGCTGCTCCCGCTTTCATTCTACTCTTTTTCCTCTAATCAGTTTTCCTTTGTCTTCTTCGTCTTCTTTGCCTTCTGCGCTTCCTCTACTTTATTTTTCTGCATTTCCCTTTTCTTCTTTCTCTCCATTTTCAGCTCTTCTTGAATTTTCTTCTCTTTCTCTTTGAGTTCAAAATATTCCACCCATTTGTCAGACGTAACAATGCTTGGAGTATATTCTTTTTTCCTTTTTCGTACTGTCGGTTTATCGTGTAGTCAAGGAATGACATCACTGAGGGAAGAGACCGTTTAGGCGTGGCAAGTCCGTTGATGATGTTGATGGATCAACACTTTCAGCTCTGTTGTTGAAGTACAAATCCTATGAGTTCTCCTTTTGGAGGCAAACAGAAGCAAGTCTCATCCATATTAAAGACGCGCTCTGAATTTCTTATTGCTACAATTTCTTCTTCTGTGAGTACAATTTCAAGTTCCTTAAACCAGTTCCGTATTTTTTTCTTAGTAATAGCGCCCCTTGCCTTGTTGACATATTCAGCATACTTCTGAGTGTCTATTTAGGAAAGAAGTAAACCACTTTTTGGCGGGCTTATTCTTGGAAAATGGAGTTTTCAAAATCCATTAAAGCATCAAATTTTGCAGAATAGCCATAACTGGGTTTACGCTAATTCACTTATAGACACGTCATGGCCATAACTGGCAAATTTCACAAAACTCGCTCTACTTATGGCGACGTCAACAAAAATACGCGTAACCTCAATTTACAGTTATAATATTATTAAATACTTTGAAACTAACGTATTTGTGATCATATAGTTCACAAGCTCGCATAAATATGTTAAAGCTAAAGATAATAAAAGATTAAATTTTTTTTTTTGCGTATCTCTAAAAATAAAGTGGTGGGGGTGTTCGAAACAAATGCCAATAATTTAAATGGCTGAACGAAATTTAATACGCTTGGTAACGTTGAAAAAAACTCAGTAGACCAAGAGCTTGACAATAAAACCTTAGAGGACCTTTTAAAGACCATCACGATGATACTTCAAGAGAGAAGAAAAACCAAAAACGAAGATGAGGGGTTCAGCTCAGCGATAAGCAAGAAAAAACGAACAATACAACAAGAAGGTCTAGAAATCGAAACAAGCAACAGATATGCCCAACTGGGCGACCACGAAGAAGAAAACATGGAAGAAGAAGGACACGATGAGAAAGAGGCAGAAGACGAACAAAGAGAGAAGAGGCCAAAAAATAAACTAGAACCAACACATCAAACACACAAAAAAATTGGCAACATCCGTGGCAATAAAGAAACCGAGAGTAGCACCGTTAGTTCTAACGCAAAAAAAAACAAATGAAATCACGTGAGCCACCTCATGAATAACATGAACATAAACTACGTAAAAGCAAAACTGGTCGCACAGGAAATAAACATAAAACCCACAACCGAAGATGATTACAGACAACTCAAAAAACTATTAGAAGATGAGCAAGTTCAGTTCTACACATACGACTTAAGGTCAGAAAAAAAGCTGAAGATAGTAATTAATGGAGTCATGCACGAGATGACCCTAGAGGAAGCAGAAAAAGACCTAATGGCACAAGAATACCCAATAACAAAAGATACCCGCATGAATGGCAACCAGAGCAAACCAGCGCCAATGATTCTTGTCGAAATAAACAAAGAGTACCGCTCTATCTACAACATCACTAAGGTATGCGGAATGGCAGTGAATGTAGAATTGAATCGTTACGAACAAAAACAGAGATCGAGAGATGACATACAGGTCATCGGTGTCAACTCTTTAGACACGCACAGAAAAACTGCAACGACGAATTCAAGTGCATGAAGTATGGTCAAAGCCATATGACGAAGGACTGCACCAAACCCAAAAGGAGTCCACTTCAATACGATGTGCAAAAAACTGGAACAACCCAAACTTAAAAAAACCTGTCAACACGCACAAGCCGGAGAACAACTTTTGGAACAAGAGAGAGGAGGCCGTAGAAAGGAAGTGCTCCATAACGAAAAAAATGATGAAAATACTGAATTTACAAACATTACAAAAAAATTAATGAGAGACAACAAATATACAAAATCTTTAAAAATAGCATTCTGGAACGCAAACAGCATAAGGCTGAAAAAAAACGAAACGATTCTGTTCCTGGAAGAACACAAAATTGGCGTCTCCCATACTTTACTGAAGCCTTGCAACCGATTCAACATACAAAACTACAAAGTCTATCGAAGGGATCGACCCGACGGAAGAAAAGTGCCTCTTCCTTTTCTTCCGTCGGTAGGCAGTCATCGTGTCAGATCAAATCAAACACGAAGAACTCCCAATCCCGAACATCACACACCTCAACGCAAACGGCATCAAAGTTAATACCAAGAAAGAAGATATTAACATATTTGCGGCGTACGTAGCACCATCAGAAAAGCTAGTAGAAGAAAAATTTAAAAGAATACTTTGCCCAAACAAAGCGGTAATCATAGCGGGTGATCTGAAATCCAAGCACCCGGACTAAAACAGCAGCATCACAAACACACACGGCATAAGATTAAAAAACCTTGCCGAGGAAGTACACCTACTCGTCATCGGCCCAGAAGAGCCAACTCATATTCACACAGCAAACAGATCGTTTGATGTCCTCAACATACCATCATTAAAAACTTAAATAAGAACATAACAATCAAGACAGTAAATGAGCTCTCCTCAGACCACTACCCAGTAGTAATGGAAGTAGAAATCCAACCAGAAATTCAAAAACAACTAATCAAAACCACCGACTGGAAGAAGTTTAGAGAAACAATAAAAATCAAGAAGACGCAGATCAATTCATCACTAAGCTTAGAGGCAGCAATAACAAGCCTTGAAAAGGGATAGTAGATGCCCTAACAGTATCAACAACAACCAGGACAATAAATCCATGCAAAACTCAACTCTCACCTCAATTAAAACAGAAATTTGCGGAAAAGAAAAAACTCATAAAAGAATACGTAAGAACAAGAGACCCAAACACCAAGAATAAACTTAGAATCACTACGGAAATTCACAAAAGCATTAACGAAATAAACCAAGAAAAGTGGTGCAAAAAAATAAAAGAGCTAACCTAACAACGGAGGGCCAATCACTTTGGAAGATGACAGCAGCACTAACTGGGAAAAGGAACAAACAGACGCAGAAACAAATATCTTTGCTACCGCTTCAAAAAACAATTCAGTCCGAACCCCAAGGTGACGCAGGTAAAGAATCAAGACTTCTACGACAACATAGAAGTAGTCTGAAGAGAAGAAATACAACAAATAATCAAAAATCTAAAAACCAGAAACTCACCTGGCATTGAAAGCATAACAAACGAGGCACTAAAGCAACTCCCACCTGACAGCATAGACGAAATAAAAACGATAGTCAACGCAGTAGTAGTAATAGAACTTGGATATTTTCCACAAACATGGAATCACAATAGTAATACACAAAAAAAACAAGTCAAAAGACCAACCAACCTCCTACAGACCTATCAGCCTTCTACTGGCAATCAGTAAAGTCGTCGAGAAGATATTGCTCAGCAGACTCAAAACTGCCATCGAAGACAACAACGTAATCCCAAACACCAGTTTGGATTCAGAAATGAACATTCCACCGAATAACAAGTCATCCGGCTGACCGAACATGTAATAGACAGAATGAATGTCAGCAAACACACTGGAGCGATCTTTTTGGACATTGAGAAAGCTTTTGATAAAGTCTGGCACGCAGACCTAATCTATAAAATGAAGAAAGCAAACATACCACCAAGACCAACTAAAATCATAAGGAAATACCTTCAAAACAGAAAATTCCACGTCAAAATAGGGAATACAATTACGGAAGGAACAGAAGTAGAGGCCGGAGTCCCACAAGGCTCCGTCCTGGGCCCAATGCTATTCAACATCTATATTTCGGATATTCCAACGCCGACAAACACTACAGTCGCCTAGTTTGCAGACGATACCGTAATATACACCACGGGCAAGATGAAATCATTCATCAAAAACCGACTACAAGAAGCCACTGATACCATCATGAAATACATGAATAAAGAAGAAAAAACAGAAGCAGTCATGTTCATATACAAGGTCACCAAAAAACCCAACCCCGAAAAAATCAAAATAATCGGAAAAGAAATAGAGTGGAAAAGGCATGCTAAATATCTATGAATCATACTAGACGAAAAAGTCAACCTACTTAAACACATCGAAGAAACAAAAAAATAAACTAAGAGGACTAGCAGCACAACTCTACCCAATCATCAACAGATGCAGTAAACTTAACATAGAGAACAGAATAAATATTTACAAGGCAATCATCCTACCAGCGGCCACCTACGAGGGAGCAATATGGGATGAAAAATGGGACAAAAGCGGATTAAACCAACTGCAACGAACGCTTAACAAGATTCTAAGAATGACAATGAACGCAGAGAGATACGTCAGCAATACTCAACTAAAAAAAGAAGCTAACATTAAAGACATGGTAACTTTCATAGAGGAGACTACCGATAAACAAATCAAAAAAATGAAACACTACTACAACCCAGAGATACAAAAAGCAACTCTAACAAAACCCAGAAAAACAGACAAAAGAGATACAGTAATGACGAAACGCAAGAGGGAACGCGAAAACATCGGCTAAAAACCCAAATGACAAAAGACAAAAAATGAAGCGACACAAAGAAAAGAAAGAAACCACTCATCAGATGACCACTGATTCATCTAATGTGATGAAAAAAATTAAAACAAAAAAGAATGGAAAACAGAGACGAACGAGCAAAAGAGTCAAAACTCGACCCCGAATCAAAAATTAGTTCCAGTAGAAAAGAGCTTTTTTTGGACTACAAATCCTACCTTATTTATCCTACCTTTTTAAATATATACAAAACCTTATTTGTGATGATTGTAATTTGGTATATTTGGCATTTTTTCGGTATTATTATAGAAATTGTGAATTTTTTTAGAAAAGTTAAATCTATAGCGAGTCATCAATAGCAAAATGATTCCCAAACAAGCTAGTGTAAGCCGCGCCTCGAGATCTTGTTCCTAACTTTAACCTAAAATATCGATGAAAGAAAATTTTATGAGAAAATTTAATGAATTTCGATCAGTTTTTTAATGTGCCTTAGTTTAGAAGATACTTCACCTCACTTTCGAGAGCATTCCTCATTCTATTGCTTTTTAGTCCAGTTAGAACCGAAAACTTGGCATATCGACAAAAAAAATAAACTCACTTCTATCACTTTTCTATTGCGTTCGCGAATCATTATATCACACATTTCTGCTGACATCATTTTGAATGTATGTTGAATACTAAGATCTTCTGCTCCAGTGTTAGAGCATATGAGAACATTATTCTACAGAAATCTGCGAGGCTGTCGTTCGAAAAATCTAAGTGGTAGGGCATCCTTTAAAAGTTTCGCACGCCGTATGTTTCCCGAATTTTTATTAATTAATTTTCTATCTACATTCCCGTCTTCAAGTATACCAACATGCCCGTAAACATCTCAAAACTGAGTTCATATTTCGAATATTAAATAATTGTTACAGTCTGTATAAGTTATTATCTACCGTTGTATCAACGCGACAAAGTATAGTATATGTTTTTGTAGGTACACGTCGCCATAGCGGTATTTTTGAGTACTGTTAATGACAATAAAATAATAATGTGGACCCTATTACCAAAAAAAATTTTATATCTAAACTTTAGTTTTTCTAATAATGATATTCGAACACACCTTAAAATCCAGCCAGCATGACAATAATCAACCACCATTAGTCTATCCGATCGAAAAATTAATGGGGTACAACCGATATCGACGGATTTATGTTGTAATAATCCTACTAAACCATCAAAATCGATCACTCCTTCTGATGTATATCCCCAAGAATCGGTTCTTTGCGTTTTTAACCTTGAATGAAATTTAAAAATAAATAGTTTTAGATAAAAAATATATTTATAAATCTAATTTACGTAAAATTATAGAAATCTCTGCAATAACCCATCAAAATACATTGAAATCTATGTTGAGAATTACTACCTCGATTACTTTCGTCAGCTAAATATTCACTAATAGTTGTGTAATTGGTTCCATCGGGAATCTAAAAAAATATATTTTTTATGTATAAAGCATCAAAGCCATAAGTAGTTTCTTAATGTATGCGTGCTGTTAACTGCTAAAGCAAGTAACCCCATGCGAGTATTAAAAATCACTTTGTCCCTGTAATGTGTATTTTTTTTGAAATCGCTAATTTAAATGCTATTCAAATTTATACAAATAACCCAAGTTATAATGTCGAAATTTTACTAGAACATTGTACTTCTAAATATTAAATGTTTCTTATATTAATCTTAACTGTTTTGTTTTCAGGTATATTTATAGGCTATTTAAGATTAAATTAAATAAACGAAAGAATTTCAATTTTTGTAGATAAAATCTTAATATTTTAGGAGAAAATTCACTGCTGCATGTGTTATTCTCTCTCATTCTTCCTCTGTCTCGATCTAGCTCTCAAATATCTCCTGAAAAGTTGACTGCCAGCTGTCTCTTCATCTCTTTGATGGCCCCCCTGGTGGTCTGGTTCCGGGTGGATTATTTGTAAGCATAATTTTCGGCAATCTATTACCTGACATTCTACGGACATGGTTGAGCCAAAATCTCTTGCTCTGTGTTTCCCATCTCACAATGTCCTGAACATTGCAATTATCTGTCATGTCGGGTTTCTTGATTTTGTCCCATCTGGTCTTTCCTGAGATTGTCCTCAAGGTCTTCATTTTTACTACTTTTCATATGCTCTTAGTTTAGTTTATATGCTTATGTATTCGCGTATTTCAACGCAGTAACTCATTATTGGGCGAATGCAGATCTTGTATATCCTGTGCGGGTCGTGAGTGCTTAAGATGTGCACACCCAACTAGCAAAATTCCTAATAAAACGTGTAAGTATAATTGTTTTTGCAGGTCGTCCTCTGATTTGGCGATAATCGTGTCGTCGTCAGCGTAGCATATTATACATATTTCCTTTTGGCTCATTTTATACCCTAAGTTTAGCGTCCTTGATTATTTTATCCATTGTCGGATGCCATCTGATATAGAGATGTCTTCGGTTAGTTCTATTCTAGCCCTTACTTTAGTCGTGTTGTTAGTATTTAATTTGTATATTATGTTTATGATGTCAGTTGGTACACCTCTTTGTGTCAGCCGGTTCAGTACGTCTCCCAATCTCACTCTGTCAAATGCTGTAGACAAATGGACAAAGCATATATATGCAGTTGTGTTGAATCCAATGGATTCTTTTAGTTGTTTCATAACGATTGCAGCATTATTTATGTTAGGATTGAACTAAATTAATTTGATCCTGAACAACTCTACTCAACCATTAAAGCATCGTTTTATTTCATTAAATGATGATAAAGAAGGTAGCATAAATGGTGTGATTGTGGTACGAGTTCCCTTCGGTTCTTTTCGAATCGTTGGATGTCTGTATAAGCTTCATAGTTACAAGTTTCTCGAAACATTGATAATAACATCTTACTCAACAGTCTTCTTCTTTGACAGCATTCTATGCCGGTTTAATTCTTTCATCAGGTAATTGAATATTACTATTTGTTTTATTGCTCTTGCTTTATCAAGAAAGTTTCATGAAATAGCTTGTTTAACCCGAATACCCCGAAATGTAACCCGCTGGTTCCATACTTTTATGAGAACGAGAGAGACAATGGATTTATTTTAGACAATTAAAAGCAATATATAACATAAACAACAATATAATGTACATTCTACAGGGTGTATCTGAATGACTGCAACAAACTTCAAGGGGTTATTCTTTAGTGAATTTTAAGGGTACTTTGATATATGAACCATGGGCGACTTCGGCCCTCCTAAGGAGCTACACCCCTCCAAAAATGGCGGAAAATTTTGGTTTAATTTCTTTTTCTCAAAAACTATAAACGCTAGGAAAATGAAATTTGGCGAATATGTCTAACTCATAATAGGGCACGTTTTGACCCTATTTGTACTTTCAACCTACCCTTCTAAACTACTAAACGTAACCACCCCCTTTACATTTTTGCTGAAATTTTTTTATGCAGATGATAAACACATTGGAAAAATTTCAGTTAGATAGATAAAACTATTCTAAAACTTTTTTGTCTCTCTAAAATTTTTCTAAAAACGACTAATTTTTGAGAAAAAAAATAATAAAGCAAACACTGCCCGTTAAACAACGGAGTTGTCGATCAAAAGTTGGAATGAAATTTAATGAAAAAATCTTGGTAGGCTTTGCAATCTTTGTCAGAAATATTTTTGACGTTTAAATGTCAGTGTTTTCGTATTATTATTATTGTTTTTCAAATTAACTTTTAAATAAAGTTCTATCGCATTTACGCTCGTTCACTCGACGTTTCAAAATTTTAAATAAAACAATAATAATAGTAAGAAAACCACTGACATTTAAACGTCAAAAATATTTATGACAAAGATTGCAAAGCCTACTAAGATTTTTTCATTAAAAATTTATTCCAACTTTCGATTAACAACCCTACAGCTTAACAGTTAGTGTTTGTTTAATTTTTTTTTTCTCAGAAATTATTAAGTTTTAGAAGAACATCAGACAGACAAAAAAGTTTTAGAATAGTTTTATCTATCTAAGTGAAATTTTTCCAATGTATTTATCATTTTCATTAAAAAAATCTACGCATTAATTGACCGGGGGTGGTTACGTTTAGTAGTTTAGAAGGGTAGGTAGAAAGTACAAATAGGGTCAAAACGTGCCCTATTATGGGTTAAACATATTCCTCAAATTTCATTTTCCTAGCGTTTACGGTTTTTGAGAAAAAAAAATAAACCAACATTTTCCGCCATTTTTCCTTCGGCTAATTAGGGGAGCCGAAGTCACCCTTGGTTCATATATCAAAGTACCCTTAAAATTCACTAAAGAATCACCCCTTGAAGTTTGTTGCAGTCATTCAGATGCACCCTGTATATTAAGTCTAAAAAGGGCTATCGACCAAAGTCCTTCCGCCCTATCTCAATAATTAAAATTTTATCAGCCACATATTGTTATCCTGTCACAATTCTTTTGTAAATAGTGTCGAATTTTCCTCAGCCATCTTGCTCTTAGATTTGTTTGCTAAAATTAAAAGTCGCTCCATCAAAGGCTTTATTTTCGTTACTGTTCGGAGACTTGTTCTTTCGCCAACTTCCAAACTCTTTAGTGTGCATCGCTTGCTATCATAGGTCAATAGGCTTGCATACTCTAAAATTGGTCTACAAATATGCGCAGCCCATTTGATGTTAATGCCTTCTTTCTTGTAGGTTAAACTTCTAAACAGCTTTGCTCTGGTGATTGCTTTCATTTTAGCCTTTTTTGTGTGTATGTGGAACTTCATTTTGCTGTCAAAGATTATACCCAGGTATTTGATGTTCGCTGAAGGGCTGATTTGCGTCTGTCTGATGTATACTGTTGGAAAATTATCTGTTATCATATGGAATGCTGGAAATTGTGTTTTTGAAGCGTTTATGTTAATTCTCCAGGAAGAGCACCATTTAGTTATTTTGTTAGTTGCTTCTTGTAATGTTACTATGGCTGTTTCAAGTTTCTTGCCATGTGCTATTAGTGCAGTGTCGCCGGCATATTGCAGCATATATAAATCGGTAGACAGCGTGGAAATTTCCATCATGTCATACGCCAAACATTGTATAGTATTGGTGAGAGCGGCGAACCCTGTGGTACGCCTTGTTGAATTTAGAATTCATCCAAGAAAGTTTCATTTGTTCTTACTCGAAAAGACCGTTCTTTTAAAAAATGTGACAGTAATTTAAGTAACTCAGGTGGAACGTTTAATTTGTCAAACGCTTTTTGTATGTCTAGAAAAAAAGCTGCTGATTTTATTTGCTTCAAGCGACAAGTGTGTAGATTTGAAGTAAGAATAGCTAGTGGATGTATAGTCAATTTCCCTGATCTAAATCCAAACTGATGATGTGGAATCTTATCTTCAACATACATTAGCAGTCGTTTTTTAATAAGATTTTCAAACATTTCCCCGATGACAGGAAGCAACATTATAGGACGATAATTAGAAGGCGTTTGTAGGTTCGAGTCTTTTTTGTGATGCATACTACTGTTCCAGTTTTTCACTCATTAGGAAAGTATTGATTTTGGAAACAAAAGTTGAATATGTCTTTTACATGTGCATGAACGTTAGGATGTAATTGTCTAAAAATTGTTCGTGTCAGCTTATCATAGCCGGCCGAAGTATTTTTTCCCTTGCTTAACAATTCCCAATATTCATCTTCGTCGACATGTAATCTGTTACTAGAAATTGAGTGTTGTCAAACTCTGTAAACCAATCTTCAATCTGATCGTGATGGTTGTTATTGAATAAGTGATTTTCAGATTTTTTAAAACATTCTTCGAGATATTTAGCATGTACTTGTGCCTTTTCAAAATCAGTGTTACAGCTGGAGCCATCAGCTGGATCTATAAGATAAACGGGCTGGATGTTTTTTTGTATTTTGATAGTTTTTTGACTTCATTCCAGAAAGATTTTCCCTTACTTTGGTTGATATTATTACAAGCTTCAATAAATCTGGAAGATCTGAATTGCCATATTAACTTGTGAATACTTTTACTAAGCTCATTAATTCTCTTCTTGGTAATCTTCATTTCTTCTGAACTGTCGGTACATGCATCTTTTACGGTTAATTAACGTTAGGATATAAGGAGGGAGTGTGAAGGAGTAATAGGACTTTTTCCTTTTTGGGGAGTGATATATTAGTGATTTCGTTAGGTGTTTGATAAACGATGATATGTTGTCTGGATTATTAACAGGATTGTTATGGATGTAATTTGTCATGTCATTGTTTAGGTTTTCGATACCGCATAAATTAATATTAATGTGTAGTGGAATGTCTAATATTGAGGAGGATTTTGAAGTAAACACCTCACGTTTACTTCAAAATCTATGCTGAGGTGGTCTGAACCAAGATTTGTTCCAACTTGTTCCAAGATATGCTTGGTGAGCCTATTACTAAATCAGGAGTGGTGTTGGTATTAGCCTGCATGATAAATGTAGGTGGTGTAGCTATTTTCTTGTATCCAGTCTGATTGAGGAAGTTTGTTTTTCGAGTTATTTATATTAAAATCTCCGATTATTATGACGTTATCGTATAGTGAAGCTTTTATAAATATAGTATCATCTATTCCATTATGTGGGTGAATATATACCAGGAAAATGTGTAGTTTTTCTTTCCCAAATGGTAATAAAAAGTGTGTGCATTCATTTAATCCGTTATTTATTCTTGTGCTATTTTCATGTTTGACTGCTAGAGGTGGGTGAATTAGCGCTACAGAGCCTCCTCTGATATTAACATTGCCGATTTCAGATATTTTTTCAACTACAGACCAGTTTTGAAATTTGATACGTTCTTTGGATTTTGTTTCTACAAATAAAGCACACTGTATAGGATGAGTATTCAAATAGTTACCTATTAAATAAGTTTTCCGATGGCTATTGATGTTGGAGTATAGGAATCTTATATTATCCATTGGAAGGTTGTGGTATTGTTGCTTGTTTTCCATTGATTGGTTCCGTGGGTGAAATTGCGTTAGGGTTCTCCAAATCAAGCATAATAATATACAAGTAGCTTCCAGAGAATGAAAGAATTGTATCGACATTGTATCGACTTCTATAAATCTTCGTCTTAATTGGTTGATCAGCTCTTGTCTATTGTGATTTTTCTACGAGTTGATTTTATTATTATAGGTTTCCACTATATGATCATGAATAGTAAGTGGTTGGTGTATTCTGGATTTATTTCTTACCGCGGGATCGATGTCTGAGCCTTTTTTATTTGAGGTTTTAATTTTTACGTTTGGAATTCCAGCGATTGGGGTTTTGGCCTATTTTTACATTTAAGAGACCACGCACTGTGGCCCTCCTTACCACAGGAGTTACATTTCTCTGGCAATGTTGATGTGCATAATGTGGTGTTATGCGTTTATGCCTTCACATTTGCTGCATTTTATTGGTTGCTTACAATTGCCTGCAGTATGCAGAAAAGAGTTACATTTAGAGCATGCAACTGGGATTGGAGCAGGAGCCAAACTTTCAACGACTGGAAAGTGCTTGTTTTTATAGAAGAATCCTTCTTTTAGTATTCTTTGATATGGCGATTCACATCCGGTAATTATTTTCATTTTATAGGTTGGACTTTGAGTTATTTTTAATATAATTCTCTTGCAGAATCTATGTTTAATTTGTAATGAAATGATCAGTTCGCTTATTTCACTGTCTGTAATTTCGAGGTCAACAGTAGTAATTACTGCTGAATAGGATGCCGCTGGTAGTTTTTTTCGATGTTATTTGAAATTGATTCTTTAAAGCTTGAAATAATTTTTTGTACTTGTAGTTTTGATAAATTCAATTTTAGTTGATTTTTAACGCATTCTGACTTTATGAGAAATCCAGTTTTTGTTTTTATTATTTCATCGCTGGGTTGAAAGTTGTTTATCGCCCAATACTCGCATAACTGGATTCTGGACAGTTCGTTATCTGTGATGACGTAAAAGAAGGCATTGTGGTTCTTCTAGTTCGCGATCCGTTTATTGAACGCAGTTATTGGAGTTATGTTGGTTGACTTCGTTTGTTGATTTTCATGTAAATCATTTGTTGATTTAGCATTTGTTGTTGTTGTTATCTTAAATTGTTGTGAGAGATTCACCTTTACTTTCGATTGGTGGTTGTTTCCTTGGTGACTTTTTAAGTCTTCCTCTTGGTCTTTTACTCCCTGATGGAGTATATTCATCATCGTCATCTTCTTCTTCCTGATCGGAAGTACAGTGTGTTAATTAATTATCGTACCCGACGTCATCATTGCAAGTATGCAACCAATACCACAGTATTGGTATTGCAATACGCGATTTGCGTATGATGCGTATTGCACTGTGATAGTGGTATTGGTTGCATACTTGCAATTATGACGTCGGATACGGTAATTAATTAACACACTGTAGTATAAGTGATTGACATTGCGGTCATGCCGCTAGCTTTATCGTACATACGATAATTTAAGAATTTTCCTTTAATCACCGAACACTATGATGCACACGTGTCGCCTCTCGAAAGGTTGCGACGATACTGTATGAGAACGATTATTATAGATTTATAAAACAATTCGTGGATCATTTCCATTAGATATCTTTCTTAACGTTTCTCTCTTATTACTTTATTATTACAAACTATAAAAAATTAAGCCATTATAGCCCGTTAAAATTACATCAACATGTGCTATATCCGTTAAAAAATGCGTACAAGAAACGTATTTAACAATCTGTACAAATATTTATATGATATAAATATTTAACTACGTCATTTTAAGCAAAATTGTCATGACATGATCGACTAGAATTGTTTGGTTTTCAAACCAGTTATTGTATTTTCAAGGAAATTATATTTGTTTTTGGAAGACTATAAACTTATGATAGCCTAGACAGTAAATTTCTGGTAAATAACTTTGCAGACTTTTAAAAATATAAATAACGACTATTTACCACAATAGCTGATGTTAAAGTAACCCCAGTCATGTTACCTCTAGACACAAATTTATGTTCCTCAATAAACGGCCAACTGTCGTTTAATGATGTAAAATATTCGCCCATATCATCAATTTTTAATTCACCACCTTTCCCTTGTCCCGGATTATATAAATCGTAAAGACTCCACGAATCATTATTTAACGAAATCGTTGATTTTACTGCAATCGTTACTTGCGAGTTAATATGTAAAAGAGCGTTTTCAAATAAATCGCTGAATGATGTGTTTTCGTTGAAGGTAATCATTAAATTGGTCAAACCATGAAAGATGTTATCAGCGTTAAACTAAAATAATAATATACATAGTTAAAAAATAACGAAGATTAAATTTTAACGTACATTTTGAATTGTATCTCGTAGAAGAGAACAATTCCCATCCAACACAACCCCATAATTACTGTATCTGATATAAGGGATAGAAATAATGTTTTCATTCAAATTTATAACTCTAACAAATCGTTTTTGATTCATTAAATCGTTAAATAAATTAATAACTCTACTTCTTTTATCGCAAATTCCAAAAACAACGAAGGATATACTTTTTGCCTTCAAATATTGTAGAATTAATTCATTGTCAATATAACCAAAAGTAAAATGTACAAGAAATAATAGTACGGGAAAACAAAAAATCAAAAACAGCCGACTGTTCATGATTTTACAACGTTAACTTTTTTACCAATACAACCTGGAAAATAAGGTTGAGAAAGTTATAGGTACAAAAAAGACAGGAAAATTGAGTTTGATTATACCTACTTATCACGTTTAAACGTTTACTGTCAATCAAAACAATAAAATAAAAATTTGTTGTATTTTCTTACACATACGAAAAATAAAAATTAAAATCGTTCAAAAATACATATTTTGCTACTTAAAAAAAACATATAAAGTGTTCTTGAATCACCAAAACCATGTTTTTTGGAAAAATGCTTAAATAGCGTAAAAAATTGATTTTCAAGCACATATTGCATTGATCGACATTTAACAGTAATTTAATATTTTCATGGAAATCTGGAGATTTTTAATTGCCGAAGAAATTTTTTGTAACATCAACAAAAGCAAAACCTGCCTGTTTTTTTATGAAAGTAAGGTTTAGTAATAAAGCTGGATTATTCATCAATTTTTTATGACAGGCCCTACAAAATTCCCCCTTTAATTAAAGCCTGCTTCATCTTTACGAGCTGCTTCAACAAAATTTTTAATTAATAATAATAATAATTCTTTATTTTGATACACGACAGCGAAATTCTTTTGCATTCTCGAACGATTTTTCTTTCGTTCTCGAAGGCAAAAGTGTCATTTCGCTATTTTGTATCAAAAATAACTATTTTAATACTACTTTAAATTTCAATGCTTCTAAATCTCTCAGTCGTTCTGGTAAAGCGTTATATAATTTTAAACCGTAAAAATTTGCGTCATATCTAGCCCTTGTCGTTCGAGTAAAATGTGAGACAAGGTCACCCTTATTCCTGGTATTATAAGAACGATAATCCCGACTTCTGCTGTAATTCCAAATTCAATAAATTTTGCCCTGCAACACTCCGCGAAACCCATGCCTGCCAGAACTCTCACACATCTTCGCTGAATACGGAAGAGAAGCGAAGCGTGAGCGAAATGCCCCCAACACAAAATACCGTACGTTATATAAGAATAAAAATGTGTAAAATAGGCAGCAAGTGCCATCTTCGATGATACTACTCTCACTAAGCTGCGAATCAAATAGATATTGGTATTTAACCTTCCAATCAAATGAAGAACATGCTCCTCCCATGTCAGTTTGGCATCAAGGTGAATTCCGAGATATTTAACTGAGCTATTGACATTTAAAGTTTGCGGCCTCAATGAGAAAATTAGGGACTGTGTTTTGTGTTCATTCACGCTAAGACGATTCTCAGAAAACCAGTTAAAAATTTTTTTTTTGTATTCATCAACCAGTTGGTCCAGGTCACACAGGTTACCAGATTATTTCTGCAATGTACCAGTGTTATCGGCAAAAAGAATAATTTCGTTTTTACTATTACTAAGGGTTAACAGATCGTTTATGAATATTATGAATAATATAGGGCCGAGAACCGATTCCTGTGGGACTCCGTAGGTAGGCAAACTACCAGATGACTGATTATTATATGTAACATATTGAACGCAATTTTCCAGATAGGATTTTATTAAACTCACACTATTACTATCAAAATGAAGCAGACAGAGCTTACGAAGAAGAAGGTCGTGGGAGACGCAGTCAAATGCCTTTGTCAGGTCGTAAAAGGATACTTGGGCATACAACCTATCATCAAAGTAACGTAACACAAATTCTATAACATTACTGACAGCAGCAGACGTCGATCTACCCCAGGTACTTACCTACCAATATTCTGAAGTGCCATGGTTGTTGAATCCCATTAAAGCTAGGTTGGACCTCACTAAATTTTCCAAATCAAACGCCCCCCATGCAATGTTTCTTGCTGATTTTCACAACATAGTGCATACTTACCCTGATGCCTTTTGTGTTTACACTGATGGACCAAAAAAAGAAAACGGTGTTGGTAGTGCAATATCAGACGATAATACAGAACATTCCTGGACTATTTCTTGCAGAGTTATATGTAGTTTTTTTTCTTAATATTCCAAGCACTACTATACATAAATATGAACCTCAATAACCGCAATTTTCTAATAATAAGTGATTCGCTTAGTAGTATCAAATCCTTACAAAACCTGTACACAAAAGAAGCAATGCTACAACAAATCTTAGACACACTGGACAGCATCACAAAACAAAATCGTAAAGTAATTTTTATATGGGTGCCAAGTCACGTTGGAATTGGGGGAATGAACGTGCTGATTGTGCAGCATCCGAGGCTGCAGATAAAGCAACAATGGATGTGACCTTTTGCAGACATAAAGATATTGCAAAACATGTCAGATCCTTGATTTATAACAGCTGGGAAGAACAATGGCAAAATGCTCCAAGTTTCTTGAGAAAAATCAAACCCCGTGTCTATCGAATAAGTTCCGAAAGGGAATTAAACAGGTCAGAACAAGTGAAACTAAGTAGATTGCGCATTGGCCATACATCGTTGACCTCCAAATATATGTTAAAAGGGAAGCAGAGACCCATGTGTTCAAATTGTAATAGGGAACTCACTTTAGAACACATCATTATAGAATGTACATTATATGAACAAGCAAGAAATATTTATAATATAACAAGCATAGAGTCTGCCTATGAAAACTCATTGAATCTGATCAAATATTTTAAAGACATTCAACTATTCGACCAACTTTGAATACTCTTAATGTGCTATATGTGGTCCTGAGTGACATTATTGTGAGTGCTAATGGCCTATGACGTAATGTTTGTGATGGCATAAGGAATGACACACTGGAACAACAAACCCTAGTCGCTCAAAAATGAAAGGGCAATCGATGTTATATTCGATAAGCTTTTGTAGAAACTATTCATAAAACGCGTTTCTTCTGTCCGTCAAGGAAACCATATTGTGTCGCGCAAGCAAATCATTTTGTGGTATACCTCGCTCAGGGTAAATTCCATCAGATTTGTAAGAAAGAAATTTTCAGAATCTACGATGGACTCGATCAAGGCTTAAGAACTCACACGCATATAAGGGACTCCAAATCAGGCAAGCGTATTCTAACTTACTCAGAACGTAAGCACAACACAAGGTCTTTAATAAGTTGACACTTGTGAAATATTTAGACATACGCATCACAAAACCTAGGGATCTAAAGGCCTCCGAACACAGATTATTGATATGTGTTTTAAAATTAAGATTTGCATCAAACAGGACCCCCAAATCCCTGTACTGCTCAACACGAGTTAAAGTGCTGGCAGCAATATTGTAAGGATATATGCATGTTGACGAGTATCGGCTATAAATAAGTACACGACATTTATCTATATTAAGGTTAAGTTTGTAGGTCTTACACTATTGTGTTTAAGGTGTGCTGCAGCTTATCTGCATCTGCCTTGATGCCTTGATGAGACTTCGGCAAAGATCTCGATATCATCAGACTGGGTTGTCCCTTTTCGCCTGGAAATGTGCTGATTAGGGACGGTCATGTTATTCAGCCGTTATTCTCATTTAAAGCGGCTGAGGTGTAAAGGGCAACATTTAGAAAAAATATATTGTATAAAAAAGAAGCTTTATCCCGATTCACATGGAAGTCCCTATACACCTCGTTTTACGGTATGCTTATTAGAAAACGTTGCCATTAATTTAATTAACTCCTCTTCTGTAGTGGGATGAAAAGACTATTGCAACGGATTGAAATCAGATCAGTGAAAGTTCGGTCAGTATATACAGTGTGAACAGCAGAAAACATGTTAGCAAAAGCATTTACAATATCTTGAGGATCAGCATGAACATTGCTCTCATTATTAATCAGATTACAGGGTATTCTTGTGGTATGTTTCATAGCTCGAAAAAAATTCCATATACTGGACGGATTTGTTTTAATGGTGTATTGTATGTTGTTAAGATACTTAATGTAACTGTCGTTTATTTCATTTTTTAACAACCTCTTTAGTCGCTTAAATTCGTTATAAAATACAACTTTTTTTTGTTTTGATCCATTTCTTGTGATAAATTTTTTTAATATTAATATGTCACTTTATTTTCGCCGAAAACCACGGTGGGTAAGAATTATTAGATTTGGTTTTAATAGGAACATGTGTATTAATTACGGAATAAATGGCATCATAGAAGTCATCCAAAGCCTCATTGACATCGGTATGGGAAAGCAAAAAAGACCAATCATACTTAAAGAAGTGATCATATAATGCAGGGTAATTTGCTCGATGGAAGTCATATCGTAAATTATCAGAAAATGGGAACCGCTGTTGATTAGTAGGTGTAGAATAGTAAACTTCCACTTCAAGACTGGGATGATAAGAATCTTCTGGTACAACTGTATTATCAGATCTTATTATGTGAAAATTCAGGTCAGCATTAGAAATCAACAAATCCAACATTCGCCATCTTCATTCTTAACGTTATTGTACAGTTTGGCATTAAGAACACTTAAAAAATCAATAAAAGCCCTGGTTTTAATTGAATATTGACTAGTAGGTAAGATTAAATCAGGAAGATTGAAATCTCCAACCAATACAAATAAATGGTTAATTATATTATAATAGCCTCAAGAGCAGTAGTAAATGTCTCCATATCATCAGAAAATAT